CGATTTCTTTGTCTCTTTTTAACGATTTGTAGTGTGGTGCTAAGGATGGCAAGGCTTACAAATGGTGCCGACGAAACTTCTGGGAATTCACCAAGTCTACGGTCCGATGCTGTAAATTATCGTGCATAATATAACAGAAGATTCCGAATGAGGTGTGTTCATCTAGTGCCTCCTGGCAACACGACTAAGTTCCAGAAACAAGATTAAGTAACTTCTATTCGACCTCACTGAACACACTTCCATACATCTAAAGGTAGCTGCGACCAAAATGGAGGCCATATTATCTTCAAATCTGATATTCAACTTTGTATATATAGATATGAAGACCAAGATGTTGTGGCCTCTGGTATGGTCACAGTCTCCTTTCGAAGTTGGTTTACCTCGTTGTCGCAACTTGGTCTTGTTGTCAGGGCGACTATGTAGAACGCACCTAGTCCGAAGTCGTCTGTAGTAGTTGTCATGATTCCCAGAATCAGACAGTGGACTTGGTAAATTCTCAAAACGTTTCGCCGGTATCATCAGTGAGTGCTGCCATTCTCCGCACAAATCCGATCGAAAAAGAGGGGGTCAGGGTAAATAGCAAATGTGATGAAGCCACATTAGATTTTCCACAAATGGGCACACATTTTAACGAGTGGAATCTGGACAAGTCAGAAGTTGTCATAGGGCGGGAGTTGGATAAGAGTAGATAGATAGGCCAGAACAGAGAGGAGTGATAGTGTAACCGTTTTCAGCAGAACGTTTTTCTAGGGATTTACTTCACTTGACTCTTTGACGAGTTCGTAGCTTGGTGCGGAGAATGGCAAAACTAACTGATGCCGCCTACGTTGCTGGCGAAACGTTTGAGAATGTACCAAGTCCACTGTCTGATGCTGGGAATCATGACAACTACTATGATAGACGACTTCAGGCTAGGTGCGTTCTAGTAAGTGCCCTGACAACAAGACCAAGTTGCGACAACGAGGTCAAACAACTTCTTTGTATATTTATTTATCACGTTATGTAGGCCCTCATTGACTAAATTCACGATTAATGGATTATGGCACTGTGTTTATTGGTTGCTAAGATAAACCAAATTGAGTAAAATCATGTTTACAACAAAACGCTAGTTGCTACGACACGCAAGACAGGAGTGACTATGACCAGTAATAGATTGGGAATTAGTTACATACAAGTAATGGAGGTATAAAATTGAGTAGGAACTACTTATGTTTGATAGAAAGAATGAAGGCTGTGCCAGAAGGCGACTCAGCTTGTCAGCTCAGTGATGATCTCAACCACACACACATTCTTTGAACAGGAATATTAAGCTTATCAACCAAACCAAACGTACGAGATTACGCTGTAAAGTTCACGCCTTTACTTGAGTCAAACCTTGCTGACCCTAAACGTGTCATAACTGGTAATTTCGTAGCCTTACACATTTACAGGCTCAATCACAGTTACGTTCTAGTTCACGCAATTTCGTCATTGCTTTTCCTTAGGTGATTAAACCCTGAGGACTCGGGCAAGAAGTCAGGTTCTTTTGCAAGTACTTTGAGGTATAACTGGTATTATTTATTCTGAGGTATAAGTGTACATGTGTCAAAACACGCATCTTCCTGTACACAGACACATACAGCCACGTATGAGTGCTGAATAAATGAAAGAGAACTAATCAAATCATTCTATACCCATTTATTTCTATATATTTTCGTTTTAGTAATGGGCGTTTAGAGCCGGATGGTTGTCTTGATTAAGTGATAACTTGACGATTCTGCAATAATGAATTCTAGCTCCAATGATGCCTGAACATTTGCCTGAAAAACGGTTTCACCTGAAACTAGGGAAGATATCTCGTGGACTGCGTAAACTTAACATCGTATTAAAGTCAAGTAGCTGTAGAACAACGGGAATCGGCCGTTGGTTGACGCAGTCCACGAGATATCCTCCCTCGCTTGGGTGAAAGTGCTTTTAGCATTTGTTCATCATATGATAAACATCGTCAGAGCTGAAACTCATTGTTGTAAAAGTCTCATGCTAACACTAGGTCAAATGGACTATCAGACTCTATATTACCTTTTATATATGCTCATATTTAAAAACGAAAATGAATAGGCATAGATAGATATAGGATGGTTTGGCTAATTATCTTTCATACGGGTCCAGCCTGCCAGCCAACAAGAGACTAGGGCATTGGAAGTCATAGACTTGGTATTAGAGATAGAAACAGGATAGACGTAGCGGCGATGGGAGCTAGTGAGCTGACAGTAGGTTTTACAAGAGACGTGGTCCATGTAGCAAAGGCATGACGATGACACTTACTCAGAGGCATGAGTCTCGAATTAGTCACCCAGACGCAGGGTAGGGTCAATACCCCCTCGAGTGGCACAGATTGGCTGGCAGGGGTCGAGTGAAATATGTGAACCAAGTAGAGGGAAAACGGATCTTACGGGGCAAGAGAGAGACTATGATAAGACCTATGGAAGGAGGACTGCGTAACAATATGGCGGATAAACATTCTCAGCACAAAGATGAAGGGGGGCGAGAAGGGCAGCGTGGATTGCGGAGGGTTCTCATGAAATCCGCTGAAAAGGACACCGTACCACATTTAATTAAGCAAGTAAAAATGGTGACAGTGAAGGCGTGATAGGAGGATGTAGGAAATGTGAATAGGCTAGGGCAGAATGGGAGATACCATAACTATTTAGCACACGTATGGTCAAAGGATCGGCTTCATTTGTCTCTTTGACGAGTTGTATTATGGTGCTACGAATGGTAAAACTCACTGACGATGCGGGCGGAACGTCTGGGAATGTACCACGTCCACGGTTCGTCTTTGGAAATGATTATGCATACAATGGACCCTGGACTAGGTGCGTTCCTCTAAGTCTTCTTACCAATATGACCAAGTTGCGAAAACAAGGTCAAACAACTTCTTTACTTTGCTATGCTTACCAAATGGATGCTTCCATCCAGGCTATATTTTCGCTCAGACATCTCTTCGTCATCTCAAAATACGGGTAGGATTCGAACTATCGGCATTACCCTCAAATAAGCCGCATAGAGCATTAGTCTCGAAGGCTAAGCAAGCATCTCTTAACTCCGGCTAATCTGGGGTTTATAGATGCGTTAGTTGAACAAACTTCAATCATGGAACTTAACCAGACGAGCTCCCAACAGGTGGACACTTCTCATTTATCTCGAGGTTGGCCTTGCTTTTGTACTACTAAAAATAAAATACAAAGGAATTTATCTAGTTCAGATCACTTAATTCGGCGTACCTTCATACTTTTGATAAGTAAAGTAAGGATGAATAAAGTATTTGGATATACTAAGCGGGAATTCCTTTGGCTAATTGATACCGTTTACATCAAGAATATGAGGCCGATAGTGGATCAATGGAGATTAAATACGATTATAATTTGTGCTTAAAGTCAAAATTGATGAAACTTTCCATGATGTAAGTACTGTCAAATCCACCCTTTGCAATTTGCAACCATTTAGGCATAGTGGGAGTGCTGATTAGACCCAGATGAGGTCAACATTTTAGTCCAGTTAAGCCAAGACGATAATACTTCTACGGAGGCAAGACTTAGTTAGTGCTGGATTGACCTCGTTTTTGCAACTTGGTAGGAGCATCAGAAAGGTCTTGAGGAGCGCGCCTAATCCTGCGTCCTCTACCATACTATGTAAGATGATTTACAGCACCTTTCCGATGACTTGGTACATTTCCAGACGTTCATCTGCCATCGTAGTTGGCATCATTACCGAGAATTCATCCCTAGCAATGACAAATCAAGACAACCCCCTTGACCAATTTTCTGTTCAACCGTTGTGATATTACTCCTCGCCCATATATTTTGTCCCGACTTATAGTGCTGCACCTCTTTTTCTCAACCCTACTTTATATCGCCCATTTGCCTATTCACTCCATCCTGTGTGCTCGTTTCCTATAATGTCTCTTCAAATTGATTTAGTTAGATTCAATAAATCTGCTAGGCCTAATCGTATTATCGTAAGGAAATTCGACTACCAGCCCTTCGTCATCATATGCAACAGAGTGACTAGTGCTATTATTCAAAACTTAAGCATGAAAAATAAAATGGTATATTTTAACATACAGCGCACGCGATTTAGCTAGGCATATTAAAACTAAGGCAGGTTAGAAACAAATAATTATTCAAGAAAGACAACCGATCATTTTTTAGTAATGATGTAACTTTAGATCTAACATAATCTGATAGCGTAAATAGTGAGCGTAATAATGTCAATTTTAAAGGTGAGATAGCTTTACTGATTCTCAATTGATCTTGTTAAGCAATAAAAAAAATATGAATTTCACAAAAGCTTATGTGTTGTATAAAAGTGAAGAAATATTAAGAAACCGATATAAAGAATGAAGATTTTTTTAATCAGCGCCATTTATACAGAGAAGTCAATGCTCACTGTCATCAAATGATGATCTAATCGTTTGCTGACAATCTCAAATACATGCATCTGTACTGAAACAAGGATAATTAAATCATGCCTATATGTTCAATTAAAATATGTTAGTCACCCAAAAATATAAAAATGATGTATCCACCAGTATTGCCTCAAGCCTACACGCTATAAAGGCAAGGCAGAGTAAAGAGAATGGGAGTTAGAGTTAGGCGATTCGGCAACTAAAATAAAATCATCCATTCACCAGGCCAGCTACATTGACGATTCACTTAAGAGAAGTAGTGATTCATATCGGCGAACGACAGTATAATCAAGTTAAGCAGTGATTATAACATCTAAGGTGTAGCCTTATGCCGATATAAATTCGAGTGTCTGGAATCTAGTACAGCTTATCATATAATGGTGTTTAGTGGAAATAATAATAAGCATAGTATGACAAAATATGCAAGTAGTTGTTGAAAGTATATGTGTGGATAAGCAGGAGAGAAAAACAGAATTACAATCAAAATATACAGTAGTAGTTAAGTTATTGAACCAAGTGGCTAATGCAGATTCAGAAGAAAGACCGGATGCATCTAGTCCTTTTGATCCAATACAGCGCTCTCCTCGGAACTGGTAGATGGGCAAAGTGCATTACACACAGCGTGATTGACAGGAGACTGAGAGGTAGAGGCTGACGTCGGTGATGCTGGAGTTAGTTGCAGTAACTCTTCCCTTTTATTTGAATATTGCGATACAGACCGGCCAAACCTTAAGGTGGCCCTGGCGTTGGCAATGGTTTCTTTATCGTCCTGCACACTTCGTTCATACCAGAGTGAATGCGAACGGAGTACTGGCGCCAAAAATTCGGAGTGCCGAAGACCCTGTTCGGGGAGAATGGGCGCTCGGAGAGAATTGATTTCCTCACTTCTACCTAATGGTGAATCAAAATTGGATGGTCTTCTCCCAGATGAGGACTGACAGGAAAAAGCAGAGTAGACAACAGTAAAGTGTAACAGGCATTAATTGAAATAAAAATGAAATCAACCCATAAAATAACGATCTATGATAAAAATGTTGAAGGCCAGAGCCGAATAGGTGATTCATTCATAAAAAGACCAAAAAAATACTTAAAAATCTTCAATGTTAGTGTAGAAAAAAGGGCAAGTGGAGTGCACGTTACCTAAGGGAGGAGTTAAAATGAAATTGTCTATTGTACTAATAAGGTGACCCAATCTATATCTTATCGATATAACCCCATAGATATTAATAATCTAATTTAATCTACTATGCAACCTCTTTGTACAACAATATTAACTTTGGTACATAGGCGATATGAGAAAAGGAATCTGAATAAATGAATAAAGATTCCCCTGGTATGGTAGAGACATACGAGTCAATATCTGAGTACACGGGTCGTGGGTTCGAGTCATACTGAGATATCAGAGGATTAACGAGAAATGAAAGGAGATTGGTTTTATAGAATATTACCTTCCGGGCCCCAAGTAAATAAGAGTATTCTACTTTAGTCGCATTGAGTGTTTGCTTATCATGTAAGACACCTAAAGACTAAAGGTTTCTAATCAGTCTATAGTATAAAATACGCGATTCAAACGCAAAGTTGGCATAAGTCCTATAATGTGAGGAGGGGAAAGTCGAGTTCACCAAAGAAGTACTTTCTACTTATACAAGAAATGCACTGACCACAGCAGTAAATGATCTTTTAGACCAGATTTCATATGGGCATCTTGGCAGCCAGAGTTATACCTTGGACAATTTAGACAATCTCGATTCCCAAAAAACACCATGTAATATAAACATACAGTAAAAAATTCGAAATCCAATAAAAAAATTTTACCCTTAATTCTTACGTAAGTAAAGGGATTGAATACTCGAGGCATAAAATCCTTAATTTCCTAATAAATAATAAAAACAACTTGCCGTGTACAAGAAAAATACCTGTACCACTCACGTAAAAAGAAATAAAACTGGGTATAAGACAAAGTATGAGGAAATAGTGATCGAAAAAGCCCTTAAGCCCAGGTTGTGAATTATTCATCCCTATCTTCATTCAATCAATTTTCGAGTATTTGTATCTCTGAACATAAATAGCGATCATAAAGACTAAAAGTATAAATTGTTCAACCCATGCATCCGATGAGAATAGTTTGGTATCCAAGATGAAATTTTATAAAATAATTAGAAATCTTATGAAAATGAAGGCAATACCAGCCGAACCAAATATCCAGCGGAGCGAACAATGACTCTTTACAGCTAATGGCCAAGAATGGCACGATAGGCACATCTCAATGCCAAAAAAGTATGACAGATAGTTATGCACGCGGGTAATAAATAATAGTACAATTTCATTTGTTTAAATAGCAATGATATCACATGAGAATACAAAGAAAAGAAACTATTTAATACAATGGCGGCAATTATAGACGCAAATTTAATATAGTATTTGGGTTTTGACAGGCAATATACAAGCTAGTTGCTTGATGAGATTAGTATACATCAGATTTGAGAATATACGAAGATCAAGATGTTGTGGCCTCTGTTATATTCGCAGTCTCCCTTCGATTTATAGAAGTGGCTTGACCTCGTAGTCGCAACTTGGTCTTGTTGTCAAGTAGACTATGTAGAACGCACCTAGTCTGAAGACCTCTGCCAGATTTCAGGCCCGAATCGAATTAGCCGATCAAAAAGAAGAGATCGGGATGAATAGCAGGTGAGATAAGGCCACACTATATTTGCCAAAAAAGAGCACATTTTGACGAGAGGAATGTAAACCAGTGAAAAGTTGTGATAGGGCGGGAGTTTGATGAGAGGCTAAAGAATAGATAGAAAGGCCAAGACAGAAAGAGGAGTGAGAGTGTAACCGTTTTCGGCAGAACGTTTGTCAAGGGATTGACTTGTCTCTTTGACGAGTTCGTGGCTTGTGCGGAGAATGGCAGCACTCACTGATGATGCCGACTACGATGCCGACGAAACGTTTGAGAATGCACCAAGTCCACTCTGATGCTGGGAATTATGATAACTACTATGGCAGAGGTTTTCAGATTAGGTCGTTCTACTTCGGACTCGGTGCGTTCTACATAGTCTCCCTGAACACAAGACCTAGTTGCGACAACGAGGTCAACCCACTTCTATAAATCGAAAGGAGACTGCGACCATACCGTAGGGCACACCATCTTGGTCTTCATATATTCGTCAATACTACACGTTTACATTCATTTTACATTGCTTATTTCAGACCTATCGAGACATACTCAATATGAAAATAGGCAACGTAATCGATTGTAGTGGCATGGTGAGGGGCCTGGCTTGCCTTGAGAATCGGATCTACCCTGTGGAACCTGTGTATTAATCTAATAGTGCCACCACGATAATTGCGACCTAGTATCGAACCCTGTTGGAAGTGCCGATGAGACCTAGTTAAGGCTAGAACTGCTGCCTTCTCAGTATTAAATGCCTTTTTTGAAAGTCCATTCGTCTCGTGGGAAATCTCAACTATCAGTCCTTAAATCGCCTTAAGTGACCTATGATGACAAAGTTCTTGTTCACAAGTGACATTTGTGTAAAGTGAGAGTTATAATGTATCGAAAATAACCGTTGCTGTTTGAAATGGTAGGGATAGATCATTACAAAGGATTGCAAACAATAGATTAAGTCAGAGTAAAACGAGGCTATAAAATCATTTTGGCTGAAGAAGCACGATACGAATAAGTAAATCTATTCAAGCCCAACCAGGCTTCACAATCATAGCAGAGTTCAGTTAACAATCTCTTCCTTCACGGTCAGTAAAAATGAGATTATGCAGTGAAAAGTGTCAGGTAAGAAGTATTGCTTAAAAAATGTTTTTTTATAAAATTACACAATCGGCTCAATGTAAGAAGCTCAATATAAGAAGCATGTAAGAAGCTATCGAAATTGAATAGATGAAGCATGGGGAAAAATTATCCAGAGGAGCTAACGTACCGTGTCAAGGCTTTGATTTTCCGAGGCTAAGGCAGTTTGGAGGCCGATGACAAGTTGCTCTGATTGGTCATTCTGAGACGAATCGGTTGCGTCTACCCATTTTGCGCTTTTCATTTGTCGATGCCCTTCTAAATTCATCTCTGACTCTGGAGCCGCACTGCTTCCTTTACGTCGCATTTCTTCAGAATCAAATTCTAGCCTTGAGATATTTGGTTGTGCCTGTAGCTCATTTTGTTTGGTAAGCTGGTGCCTGCGCTGGCGAGCAAGCCGGTGTCGCGGGGAGTCTACACCCCAATACCAACTAGCTAGCCCAGCCAAGATTAGGACGACTAGCCCGATAACTAGGAGTCCGACAGCAGCCTGGCTGAGACGAGAGGTAGTCAGGCCACGCCTGAGCAGTAGGAATATGGTCAAGTTGACTTGAAGTAGAAATACACTAGTCAAAGCCAGTAGACCAGCCACCCAGTGAATACGAGTGTCAATGCGACTAGGCAGATAGACGAAATAGAGATTGTACCGGTCTACCAAGTACTTCAGCACCAGATAAACAAGACCTAAGATGGTTACAAATAAATAAGTAAAAAAGGGAAAAAAAAAG